TATTTCTTAGGAATGGAAATCATGCGAGAACCAACAGGTTTCATCATTACACAAAGCAAGTTTACTCGGGACTTACTTAGTGAATTTGATTGCTCCAGTCTCCCTACAATATCTTCTCCACTTGATCATTCCATCAAATTAACTGCTGCATCAGGAACTCCTTTGCTTGATCCAACCATCTATCGACGTTTGATTGGAAAACTTAACTACCTCACCCATACAAGACCCGACCTTTCTTTCACTGTCTTGACCCTTAGCCAATACATGCAACAACCCTCTATTTCCCATTTCACAGCAGCTCTTCGTGTCCTTCAATACCTTAAATCAAACCCCACTCAAGGCCTTTTTCTCAATTCAAACTCCAATTTTTCTCTTTTATCCTTTTGTGATGCAGATTGGGCGGCTTGTCGTGATTCTCGCAGATCTGTGAGTGGCTTCTTTATAAGCTTGGGCGGTTCTCCAATCAGTTGGAAATCGAAAAAACAAACTTCCATATCCCTTTCTTTAGCTGAAGCTGAATATCGCTATATGAGGCGTCTTGTTGCAGAATTAACCTGGCTCACTCGTCTTCTCACTGATTTATCCCTTGAACCATCATTACCGGTCCCTATATATTCCGATAGCCAAGCTGCAATCCATATCGCCCGAAATCCGGTTTTTCATGAACGGACAAAGCATGTTGAGCTAGTCTGTCACTTCGTCCGCCAACAATTTCTTTCAGGGTTGATATCTTTGTCTTTTGTTCCTTCAAAATCTCAGCTTGCTGACCTCTTTACCAAACCTCTATCTGGTCCATCTTTGTATTTGATACTTGGCAAGTTGGGGCTCTCTTCTTTCCCCTCCAACTTGAGGGGGGATGTTGGAGATAAGAGGCTGCATTCACACAAAAAGGGAACCACTCATGTTAACATTGTAAACCAAGATAAGAAAGAGGAGAATGGACTCCTTACAGACAAGTTGGGCCAGCTATCTATTGGGCTCGTTTGATTTGAATTGATCTGATATTGGAATTGACAACTCACAAGATATATGTAACATCCGACAATTTGAAATAACTATGAAGAGGCTTAAAATCAGAAAGTCATTTTTGGAACAAAAAATTAAAGGAATTCAAAATCTGGAAATTTGGTTAAGTGTGGGAAATTAGTGAGTTTTGGCCAACTTTGATCAGTCATATCTCTTAGCTCCGTCCTTTTCAGCAATTACATGTATAAATAGTGCTAGAAATCTGTACATTAATCATAAGAAAATACAGAAAATTTTCCATACATTCTGTCTTATATTCCTACAGAATCAGGTGTGGTGGGGCAAAAGGCGTCCACAAAATATAATGACGAACTAGGGTTATTCTGATTGCAATTTTGGGCTGGATTTGATTGAAAAAGGGCTGTTTGAATTCAAAAATCTGTCTATGATTATTCATCAGAGATTTCAAATGTGAAGAGAGCGTCTGAAAATAGATTAGGATTTGGGCTATTTTTTAAAATAGATTTTGATATAAAATATGGGCCGAAAAGTTTGATCTGATTTGGGGCTTTTGGGTGCTATCGGGGAAGAGTCTTGATTTTCCCGATTACAAAAATCCCAGATTTTTTATTGCATTCTTTGGTTGTCCAATAATTGCAAATAATACCTTACTTAATGAGAGAGATATATTCAAGAGGGGATAGGGATTGAAATAGGAGTCCTTATTGAAACCAAATTTTTTCATAACAAACGACAAGAGAGCAGAAGAAATATATTATGGAAGATATATTCCTTGCGCATATCATCTCCAGCTTGCCTTTCAATGTAAATTACTTCTATCAAAGAATCACTCAATCTGCGACAACGACTTCACCCTATGCAGATCAATACTTTCTTATCTTAATTTACCATATATTGCCGTGTTTCTCTTTATTCACTCAGAAGTGACGGTAGTGTTCTAGCTTTTGATACAAAAGGCTATTTAGTGTTCTAGCTTTTGATACAAAAGGCTATTCTAAATTGACCATCTTGAGTTTCTTAGTCATTATGATATAAGGCACGGTAAAATTTTGACAGGTGAAGATATATGGCTAGGGAGGGTTTCCCACGCTATGGACAACTTAGTTTTAGGTCCTGGAGGAATTATTTGGCTTTCCAGACTGGATCGAAAGCAAACAAGTGTCTTTTCTGGTAGTAGAATGTCGCTGAACACAGTTTCATGATCTATACGAGTATAATAGGAATATCTATGGGTACGAAAATGCTGCAGTGTTGGAGACAGTTAATTATATCTCCCATGTATTGCTTCCATCAACGTTAGCTTGTGTCCATTAGACGCCCTCCAATAATGTAATGACTGCTGATCAGGCATATATTGCTGCAAACTTGGATGACATCAGAAGATTTATCATCAATGGACAAAGGTACGAGTAAGTTTCTATTCCATTTTGTATTTTAGTTCTTGTGGTGTCCTAAATGAGACTTAAAGTTTCAAATTTAATGTTTAAAACATCTCAACTGAGCCAACAAGTCTAAATCATTTCTAATTCTTTTCAAATTTTGTACATAGATTTGTCAAGTTATTTCCATCCAAGAAGAAATTTCATCATCAGAAGAAGAAGAGGAGGAGAACAAGAAGAAGCAGTCGGATGAGGAGGAGGAGAAGAAATGCAGTAATAGAGGTGACTTTCTACCCTTCAATATTTAAAATGACTTTTAATTTGTTATTTCTAGGAGATTGAGGACATAGTTAAATATTGTAATAGACATGGTTTCTGCATTTTGAAGAAAATTTTCTTTCATTTTTTGCACATTTCAAGTGATGAATTCCAATAAATGAAAATTTTTAGCATTGCCAGGTGAAGATTTTTGGTGAATCTTCCATTCAAGATTTGCTTGACACTATTTGATTGAACCTTTTCTTTTTTCAAATAGAAATTAGAGACTTCCACTTAACAATTAACATGAAATCTGCGAAAGTCGGATTATTAATCTATGACCTTTTTTTCTCCATATAGAAGCAAAAGTACTTGTGTTGAGTTGAGCTGAGTTGAAATTATGTTTTGATGATTGACAAAATATAAAAGAAAACCAGGTCCTTCGCAGGTCTAGCGGAGGAGCTAGTTTGCAGTAGTTCAAGTTACTACAACAAAAGATATATTTAGTGACAATAAATTTTCCTTTTAATGACAATAGTGATACAATACATAGTTTCAAGTTAGGCCTTCCTTCAATGTGGTCTCCTTTCCCAGATTTGCATAGCGACATTTATATAAAGTGTTGGCTGTAAATACTCATATTAATATTGCTAAATATATTACAGTAACAATTATACTATTACAACTAAATCCTTTATTTGTTCTAGTGAGCTGATGAAATATATGTATGGTACATTATAAATGTATCAAATAGGACCAAATAGAAATAAGTGTTTTTATACGGAGTATATAAAATGTAAAGATTTAGCACATTAACCTAACTCAACCCAAAAGCTAGCTCATGAAGAGAGGATTGTCCAAATCATATAAGCAAACCACCAGTCCAATCCCCAACTAATGTGGGGCTCTTACTCACTCTAACACACCATCCACCCTCAAAGGGGAGCCCAAATGATATGGTACTTGGGTTTAACTTAACCTCAAAATCTTGATCATGAGAGGAAGATTGTTCAAATCCATATAAGCAAACCATTTCGTTCCCCAATCAATGTGGGACTCTAATGCCCCGTTTCACGCTCAACCCAGCGTGGAGCAGGAGCCTAAATGAGGATGAACCTTGTATGGACTTAAGTAATAATCCTTCCCCAAGAGCTAGTTTTTGGTGTTGCAGTCTCATATCTTTACATGGTATACGAGTCATATCTATTTGGACTTCTGATACATACTTCAATTGGGATTGGGCTTGGGCTTGGGCTTGGCACGTGAAGGCGGGTGTTAGAGTTCCACATCTGTTGGAGAATGAACTAATAGCCTGCTTATATGGACTTGAAGTGTCATAGCCTTATATAAACCAAATTCACAAATTGACTAAACACACTTATACCCTTAAGCGGGATATAATTAATTTGAACAATATATATTATTTATTTCTTAATGAGATGATTTATTATAGGTCCACATATACATCTAGTTCATTGATTGTTCAGCATAATCTACCGAATCACTTCAGAGATTTCCCTAATAAAGTTTTATACTATTAACACCAACTTGTTTTAGGGTAAAACATTTGTTATCTTCGTTAATAGACTCGAAAAAGAGAATAGAAAGAATTAAGGGCATGAGAAACGGCAACAGAGAAGAGGAACGCAGTGGTCTATCAGCGAGTGTAGAAATGCCAGATGATATATTTATGGACATCATCTCCCGCTGGCCCTTGAAGTTTGTTGTTCAATGTAAAATTCTATCCAAGAATTTTAAAGGTAGGATATCTCATCCTGAATTTTCCAAAATATTGTTCCAACGCCAAAAAGTCACTTCTACACAACTCATCTATTTAGTACATGATGGGAGATTAATCAGACAATTCCCAAAATCTCCTTTAACCCTATCACTCAATCTGTGACGACGTTATGTTTTGGCGTAGAGATTTTGGGCTCATGTAATGGTCTGATTCTCTTTGAGTTTGAGAGAATTAGGTGTTACTGTGTTTTCAATCCCTTAACTGGAGAGCATCAATTGATTCCATATCTGAATTCTCCTAGAAATGAGTTAAAAAAGACAGGCCTAGTGGTTGATTACCCTAATTCAGATCAATACAAATTGGTAACCATAAGTAACATTGTGGAAAATTCCAACTTGTTCTACAAATTTCACTTATTTTCATCAGAGCAATCTGGCCTGTGGCGTGAAATCCAGCTGAGAACCAATAGTTTCATATCCTTACCTTACGGTAGTCCACCTGTTTATTTGCATGATTCTCTGTATTTTCTCAGAAGTGACGGTAGTGTTTTAGCTCTTGATACGAAGAAAGAAGAGGCTGTACTCATCGACCGTCCGGAGTTTATTGATCATTTTGTTCTTAGCTATGGCAAAATTTTGACTAGTAGGGATATGAGTGGTAGCGATATATGGCTAGGGAGGGCGAAAGATTTACTTACCCTTGTATGCATTTTCAGAAAGTACATTGTCATTGGCACTTATGACAGAACAAGCAGCTGTTGGAGGGTTTCCCACACTTTGGACAACTTTGTTTTAGGTCCGGATGGCAATATTATCGGCTTTCCAGTCTGGATCGACAGCAAGCAAGTGTCTTTTCTGGTACGACGTCCCCCAACACAGCATCATGATCTATACGAGTATGATACCAACATCAATGTGTACAAAAATGTTGCAGTTCTGGACACAGTTGATTATCCCATGTATTGCTTCCACCCAACATTAGCTTGTGTCCATAAGACATCCTCCAATTATGTAACGACTGCTCAGCAGGCGTATATTGCTGAAAAGTTGGATAACATCAGAAGATTTATCATCGAAGGTACCAGTAAGTTTAACTTCAATTTTGTATTTTAGTTCTTGTGATGTCATAAATGAGATTCAAGGTCAGGATTAGCCATTCCTTTCAAAATTATGTTTAAAACACCTCAACTGAGCCAATAGACATTTCCACAGAGATATTGTGTGCCTTCTTTGTTTGACTTCAGTAGCATTTTCTAATTTCTAGGTCTCCTTTTTTACTTTAAGCAAATTTATATCATCTCTAATTCTTTTCAAATTTTGTATCTAACTATGTCCAGATACATCAGAAGAAGAAGCAGCAGCAGCAGGAGAAGGAGGAGGTTAAGAAGAAGAAACATTGTAATAGACTTGGCTTTCTGCCCTTCACTATCTTCAATCATGATTACTTTATTTTCAAACATGACATAATTTGTTCTTTCTGGGAAATTGAGGGCATAGTTGAATATTGTAATAGACATAATAGGCATGGTTTCCTATATGCATTTTTGAATAAAAACCTTCATTTCTATATGCATTTTGAATAAATGAATGATTTTATCATCACCAGGGGAAAATGTTTGGCAAATCTGCCATTCAAAATTTGCTTTGTCAATCAAGCATTGTCATATGTGCTGTTTTTATTTTGTTCCAATTTTTTTTTAACAAGACTGGATTTTATGTTAGTTGAATTCTTACTTCACTTTCCTATGCTCAAAAAACAAAAGAATTATAGTTACTCAATACACCTTCAGGCTTACTTAGCTTGATATACTTTCATCACAGTGATGAAATCCAACTGAGAAGCAATTTCTGCTTTTTATCCTTCAGTAGTCCACCTACTTATTGCTGTGATTCTCTTTATTGGCTCAGAAGTGATAAAAAGAGAGAAGATGCTATACTCATTGACAGTCCTGAGTTTAGTTCTTGCGATGTTCTAAATGAGACTTAAGGTGAGGATTAGCTTATAATTCTTCTCTAGATGACCAAAGAGAAGATTCAGGGAGTAGTTAAAAACCGATTCTTTCTTTTCCATCCCACCACCCTATTAGGAGGATTAACAGTGTACTCACAAATCGGTCTCAATTGTACACTCGAACCTACATACCAATTAATGGTGGAAATGTTCAATCACTTGAGCATGCCTAACTTGTTTGAATTTTCTTTTAGGGTTTCCCTATATGCATTTTGAATGTGAAAATAAACTCTTTTTTGGGGCAACTGTTGTTGGGTTTTAAAAGGTGTGAATGGAAAATGAAGAGTTGCGACTTTTAATGAAGAGTTGTGACTTTGATGAAAAGTTGCGACTTTTATGAAGAGTTGCGACTTTTATGAAAAGTTGTGACTTTTATGAAAGGTGGTGACCTTTCCGAAAGATTGTGACTTTTCCAAAGGTTTGTGACCTTTCCGGTAAGGCACAATAAGAACCTTTTCACACTATCCTTTGTTTTCTATAAATTGAGGAATTTCCTCTCATTTTATAAATAGAACCAATTTCTAGACTTCTTCTACTACTACTAAATCTAGTATTCTAAGTGTACTTTACTGCCGTTGAGTGGCTCGCTGACACCAGCGTTTTGGGTATCAATACACTGATGATTGAGATCATTCTATCCTGGGAGGACATATTCCAAATCAAACCTCGGATACTAGAGGGGAATAATTTCCTTAAGGGGACACTGTGCATTCAGTGGGACTTGATCTTCTTTCTGTTTTTCCAGATTCTGGTATGTGTTACAGATTTAGATTTGTGAATTAATTTATGTTCTTCACTGGTTCATTAAACTTTGGTAACTTTGTGTTTCTGCAAAGTTTGTTGGAATCAGTAAGATTCTTTAAACACAGATTGACAACAATTCTTCTTTAAGAAAAAAATATTTCGTATATTTTTCTAATCTGTTTCTGATTCTAGTTTCTCTACTAGTTTTAATTTTCTAGTTGTGAAAATGTTAGGAATACAAGATGAACAACAACTGCTGCATATTTCAAGTATTGATCATGATGCTCCAACTATGGGACAGGAATACCTCATGTGCGTTTAGAATCTGGAAGGAAAATCACAACCTTTTTGGAACATTGTCACCATGACCATTTAATCCTGCCTTTATGATCCCCTTAAAGTCTGATAGAATTTTTCAGATTTATAAGTTCAAAGCTATTAGTCATAAGTTGAAAACCATATGCTTGAAGATAATTATTTTATTTTTATGTAATGGAAAATGGGTTATCCCGCAGATGATAAATTCTATTATATCCTTCCTAAGACATATAGTCTCTTCTTGTTAGACCCCTGATCTAAGTCACTCAGCTAAATGGCAGCATAGACAAGGTTTTTAAAGCATGTTAACCTTGTCACTTGCATAAGCCAAGGTAACAAACAGGCAAGGCTAAGTTGGCGACGGACGGTTGACAAAGCTAAGGTGTGCACAATAGCACCAAGGCTTGATTCCAAAGTGGTAAGTGAGGACCAAGGACTTGAGGGCAAGGCAACTTGGTGTGGACTTGACAAGATGAAGGCTAAACAATGTCATGTGGGCATGGCATTGGTATTCAAATAAAGGACAAGGACAAACGACAAGCAAAGCTAAGAAAGCAACGCAAAGATCAACAGTGTTCTCACTAACCCTCCAAGTATTGATCATGATGCTCCAACTTTGGGACAAGAATACCTCATCTGTGTCTAGAATCACAACCTTTTAGGAACATTCTCACCATGACCATTTGATCTTGCCTTATGATCTCCTAAAACATCTGATTCTTTACATTCATGAATGAAACGTATTATCTGATGTAGACATTAAGAACTAATATCTGATGTTTCTAGACTAAATCCATTAAGTAACAAGAAATCTGACACTACCTTAGTTCTTCTGCATGCTGGACAGAATGTTAGCATTCTTACCAAGTAGACAGAATTTAAACCATTTTAGATGAAATCCAATGCTTTCACTTGTAGCCTGTGGCCTCAACCTCCCCTTTGTAGAAATTGTTCTCTCATTAGTGTCAACTTACTGTAAACTTGTGTCACGGTCAATCTGTCTCTTGGGGATTCAGCTGAACATGCGACACCAATCTCAAGTATGCTAACCAAGCATTCCATCTCTTCTTTCTTGATACTGCCCCAGTGTTCTTTGACGTTGGTTGCTTTACTCATCTCACCATGAAAAGTTGTTTTGTCTAGAATCTCCATAACTTTCTCTGGCAACGCTGTTTCGACAAAGTGGTGAGGACTAGAGCTTGCTTGGAACAAAGTGTCTGTGGGTCTTCTTCCAGTGAATATCTCCAATATGAGAATCCCAAAACTGTACATATCTCCTAAAGCGGAGACCTTATTTACCATGCCGTATTCTGCAACAAGCAAATTTAGCTTATAAATAAACAACTATTGTTTGAAGAAATTTCATATCACAGTTTTTGTTAACCTAGGAACACCACCTGGAGCTGCATAGCCAATGGTTCCCATAACTCCAAGTGAGCTAAACTGAGCTGTGAGATCTTCATCAAGAATGAGTCTCACCAAACCAAAATCATCCAAATGAGCTGTGAGATCTTCATCAAGAAGAATGTTCTGTGGTTTATATCACAGTGGATCATGGGTGTTTGGCACTCATGGTGAAGATAATGAAGTGCAGAGGCCACATATTATGATATTCATTCTGTGAAGTATCATGCTTGAGGGAAGTACATGCTTCTTCTGTGTCTTTTGATAAACACAAGGTCGTAAATGCAGCTCTTGAATCCCACCAAAATGCTCGGAGTTCCAGTTTAATACATCTGCACTCAAATTTGAAAATATTCCGGTGACATGAACCTCACTGTCTAGATTGTTAAAAGATAAGTTCAAGTAGAGTAAGGAAGTAAAACTTGCAATGAAGTGAGGAATTGGCCCTGATAGATTATTTTGGGAAAGATCCAAGGATTGGAGATCCGGCAGATCTTCTAAATTGGGAATGGTCCCTTGGAGGGAGTTTCCCTTCAAATAGATCCCCCAAGGCCAAGCATTTTCCAAGAGTTCGTGGAATCATCCCCGAAAAATTGTTGTGAGAATAATCAAGATAAGTAAGATAACTTCAGTTACTAATATAGACTGGTAATGGACCTGTCAAAGAGTTATAAGATGCATAAATATTTGTGAGGGATGAGAGAGCAAAAAGTTGTTGTGGTATAGTGCCTGTTAGGTTGTTTTCAGAAATACCCAATTTTAGCAGTTGGCTACAGTTTCCCAATGTTGAAGGTATGTTACCCTCTAACCTGTTTAGTCCCAAATAAAGATAGATGAGTTCAGTGAGGTTTCCTATTGAAGAAGGGGTGACCCCTGTCAAGAGACTGTTACCCAAGTTGAGACCTCCCAAGTTTGTCAGTCTTCCAATAGAACCTGGAGTGCTACCTGTAAGATTGTTGTTACTCATCTCGAGTAGATGCATATTCACCAGGTTTGAGATATCTCTGGGTATGCTTCCAGTAATTCTGTTTCCTAGTAGAGTAGGCGTTGTAACTGACTAGAAAGGTTGACTGTTGAATGAGGTAATGTACCTACAAACTGGTTGTCTCCAAAATGGAGCATTTGTAGACTGCTGGTAGTTGGTAAGAAAAATTACAAAGTCAAGGTCATCATGCTTACTGTATCCAAGTTGGTTACTCCAAACGTTGAGCCACAAGAAAATCTGCAAGTTACCAAAACCCTTGGGTATATTTCAAGTGAAATTGTTTACAGGAAAATCAAGCTCTAGCAATTTTGAACCATTGGCCAAAGAGGACGGTATGGAACCAATGAATTGACATTTCGCCAAGTAAAGTATTTGGAGATTAGGGAAGTAGTTGCCTAAACCGGATCTGAGATTACCAGAAAAGTTGTTAAAGGAAAGTGATATTAGTTCCAGGGAAGACAAATTGTACAACGGAGGAGGGAACTCCCCGGATAAGCTATTTACTGACAATCCAAGAAGCCTCAATTTTGTTATGGAAGGCATTTTCTGCAAGGTCAAGAGAATTAAGAAAAGAGAGGTTTCCAAGATTACCTGAGATCATACCTGCCAGCCTCGCCCTTTGAGATTCAAACGGATGACTCTTCCGTGTCTCAGGCCACATTTTACTCCAGTCCACTGACAGAAATGAACAGAATCGTTCCAAGAGGCGAAAACTCTTGCTGGATCCTCAGTTATTTGGGACTTGAATCCAAGTAAGGCAAGTTTGTCAGTTTCATTGCCAAGAAAAGCAGCTGATACAATATGTTGGAGAGAAAATGAGAATAGGAACACAAGAAACACAGCATGTATAGCCAGAAAGGTGTGGAAGTTAAAACTCGCTGTGAAAATTTCCATTCTGGAAAATGTCAAGAAGCAAAAGATGATACCTCTCAGAAATGTCGTTGTTGGTATTGGAGCACCAATACGTGATATAAGACGCATGATTATAAAACAAGCTGCCAATGACATCTCAACATACTACACCAAAAATGATCTTTAGAGGTAAATAATTAACGACTTTCTTTGAAATCGGACTGTTCCAATTTCCTACTGAGATAGGCAAGAGGAGGGAGAACTAGACGTATCTTGCTAGGCAAAGACAGGTTCGAATGGATAGCTTGCGTAATTGCCGCTAAATATATTTTTTCGGGACCTAGTGACAATTACATTTTATCACTCTTTTTGAATGCCGCTAAAGCCTATAGATACATTACTAATGAAAATTAACTAATGTCGGTAAAAACTTAGCCCTCTTTGTTAATGTGTATATTTATTACTGCTAAAATTTATTTTTGTTGTAGTGAATTTTTTTTATTTTTATAGCATTTTTCTTCAAGATTGTTTTGACATTGGTGCTTGATCCACCTAATCTTTTCTTTATAATATAAATTAAGAATTATCCAACTCATGAACTGGGATTGAAAAAGTCACGACCTTCTGATGCACGCAAGGTTAGGGGAGACTGGAGAGTTGCCTAACTAATCTTTTACTTAATCAAGAGTTGGGTTAATGATAATGATATTTATAGAGTGGCTCCTTCTTAGAAGTTTCCTTCCATTTTGTCCATTGAGATACACCATACTATGTCTCCAGACTCTGCCAATCGGAAACCTAACACTGATGGAAACTTCTCTTGTGCTAGTGTTTGAAATATTACCAGAAAAAGGAAACATCCCTTTCAAATGTTCTTTTCTTCTCAGAAGAGCTCTTAGGGGCAAGCTCCCTATCAGGCAAGTACATGCTTCTTCCGTGTCTTTTGATAAACACAAGGTCGTAAATGCAGCTCTTGAATCCCACCACAAAGCTCGGAGTTCCCGATTAATATATCTGTACTCAAATTTAAAAATATTCCGGTGACAGGAACCTCACCCTCTAGATTGTTAAAAGATAAGTTCAAGTAGAGTAAGGAAGTTATAAGATTTGCAATGAAGTGAGTGGTTGGCCCTGATAGATTATTTAGGGAAAGATCCAAGGATTGGAGATACGGAAAATCTTCTAAATTGGGAATGGTCCCTGAATATTCAGTTAATATCACATAAGCATGATAAGTAAATCATTTACGGAAAATCTTCTAAATTGGGAATGGTCCCTTGGAGGGAGTATCCTTCAAATAGATCTCCCCCAAGGCCAAGCATTTTACAAAAGTTCATGGAATCATCCCCAAAATATTGTTGTGAGAGAAATCAAGATAAGTAAGATGACTCCAGTTACTAATATACACCTGTTATACCCCATTTTAACCAAGGTCAAATTAGTGTACAACATATTGGTGATTTTCCAAAATTAATTAACTTAAGAAGTCGCCACCTAATTATTTTAAGGTAAATTAGGATACCTAAATTATTAACTAAGTAATACTAAAATGACTTCAATTAAATGGTCTACTAAACTTAAAATTCTAGGTAAGGGTTCTAATTTATCCTAAAGGGAAGGGGTGAGACATCCTTTAAGATTAGTTTTAAAACTATTAACCGGCCAAACTTAGGTTAATTAGAGAGAAAATAAAATAATCATTAAAAGCTAAGAAAAAACTAGTATTAATTAAATCATGGCAAGGTAACCTAAAAAAGTTAAAGTATAAAAACCTTAAAATATACTAACTTCATATAGAAAGATCTAAAAAATGAAACAAAACAACCATTAGTTTAAACTTGATTTTTTAGCGAGAAAAAGGAGTTTGAATGAAATGAGCATAATTTGTTATCTTCAAAATAGATGGCCAAGTCAAATGTTTTTTGTTTAAGAAAGAAAATCTTTTTTATGAAATTGAATTAACAAGGAAATCTTAAAGCTAAAGATAATGAAAATATATTTTGCCTTGATAAAAAAAATAAAAGTTTTTATCCAATTGAAAACCTTTTATCTTCAAATTCGCCTACTCATAATTCCCAAAAAGAGTTGTGTTTTAAAGCTTTAGACATATCAACATTTTATAAAGTTAACATTTTTAAAGTATAAGCAAAGACGTACAAATCGCCCCTTTTAAATTCTCAAAAATAACTCACTTTAGAGTTCAAATACTTACACTTT